TACAACAGTTTAATTTACTGTACACAAAGTTTCAAGCCTGAGCCTTAAATGCCTTCTCAGTTGAATGCCATACAATGTTTCCAATTGTTTCACAATAAAATGATCCAAACAAAATGTCACCATAAAAGAACCTTACATGCCAAAGTTATGTCAAAGCATAATAGTACATTGTGAGCAGAAATAGCTGCACAGTGGACATATATAACATGGTAACTATATTGAAAATCGAACCTCCAGAATAAATTCAGAAGAAAGCATATGAAGATTCCGTTGTCACTGGGTAAGTGGTTGTACTGAGGAGATGTCGTTTATAGAACAAGAAAAAACACTTCTAGAGATAATACGAACATGGTCAAAATTCAAAGGTGAAATACAGGTCCAAACTTAACATTTTGCAAAACATAGAACATGTGTCTTGAGATCACATATATCAATATATTTTGAAAGCAAATGGCTAAGTAATGACCTTAAGAAATTTGAGCTTTCATTATGGTAGAATGGTAGATGTGCAGAGGTAAAATCAAGGTGAAATATGAGATATCGTAAAACACATGTTGAACCCCACTTCTGTCTACACATATACCAAATATCATTACTTATTGAACAACACCTGGTGAGTTGTTCCGTATACAGGTTCTTCAATATGCCTCAATATGAAGGTTCATACTCCAATGAACTCACACAAAGTGAAAGTCAATTCTTATAATTTTTTATCACAATTTCTTACCTCAAAGGACGTAGGCTAATATCTAAACACAATTTTTTTAGTACGTGTGACGTCATGTTTACACTGACAGCCATACAACAACCAGCTATATCGTGGAGTACAATAGTTCCTCAAAAAGAGAGGTGACATGAGCGTATGGATGCACAACTTGCTCTTCAGAAACATCTTACGCAGCACGTGTTCAAATCATATCCCCATTAGATGAGAAAGTTCTGTAAAGAACTACCTCAGTAAGTCAGTCACAATGACAGTGCGTCGTAATACATTTACTTCAAGTACTAGACGTCAAAATGGCCGACACGATAAACGTGACGGGAGAGATTTCCGAAGTTGTTAATGAACCTGTGTCGGTAAAGGTTCAAAATGATCGGAAAGAGCACTTATGTATGTTTTCGTGCTAGGGAATTCCGAGGGGTTTCCCCAGAAATTTGGAAGTATCCGTCAGTGATTACGTCATTTCATGAACACGGTCTCGTGAAAAACGTATGAACGTCAAATTGTGTCGTTCATACACTCATGAACGTCAATTTCGCGGTCATGTGGCCGACCTCTCGTCCAATGGCGTATATCGTGTAAACTTCAAATTAAAAAATTATAATATGGTGAGATAGATGAAGGACTGAAGAGCGAAAATGAATTAGTTGTCGTGATACAAGTTAGGGCCGTCTGCTAAACTCACATTCAATTTTAGTAAGAAGGCAACGACAAACGCGTAGAATGTGCAAAGCGAGATATGTAATTTACATGTCGGTTAGAAACAGCTTAATTCACAACAAAACTTAACTTGCCACACAAATAATATTAATTATAAATCAATGCTTGTGTCTACTATCAGTGGTGGGGGATTGCCAACTAGTAATTTACTGGTCAAGGGGAAACTTTTAATTGCACCACTTCTTTTGCAGATTGCCTGTCGTATCGTTCGAATCGGGCTCAAAACTAAATGTATATTGGCAAATATGCAGAGAACTTGATATGACATAGTTTACGATTTATCAGTTTCCTTTATAATTCACATTTGAATTCATGTGTCCATGAGGGGCGATGGGGTGGCCTAGTGGCTTATCTCGTTCAAGGGTCGGGTTCGATTCTACATGTGTACAATGTGCAAAGCCCAGATCTGGCATACCGCATGCTTGCAGTGTGCGAAGCATACTGGTGTCTGGTGTCTCTCGCTGGGATTTTGCTGAAATAATGATACCACGTTGCGATATCCACCTCACTCAATCATGATTATGTGTATTGGATATGTATGGGATGTGTATTGGATGTATATTGGATGTGTCCGATTGTGGTAGGCTGATCTCGTCCTTTCAGTCTGTTAATGTGTTGTGTTTGATGCTGGTTGCTGATGTGGCGATAGTCTTAGCTGAAGTTATCTAGATATTGGTACGACCCGTGAAAATCCGGGATAGAATAGATCATCAGCAACCCATGCGTGCCGTAAAAGGCGACTAGGCTTGTCGTAAAAGCCAACTAACTGATCGGGTAGCCAGGCTTGCTGACTTGGTTGATGCATGTCTTGGATCCCAATTGCGTGGACCGATGCTCATGATATTAATCACTGGATTGTCTGGTCCAGACTCGATTATTTACAGACAATCGTCATATAGCTGGACTATTGCTGAGTGCGGCGTTAAACAACAAACCAATTAACCAACCAAGATATTGGTATAACGTACAGATTTATATAGAAAACGCCGACTCCCAGAATAACATTTTGATATTATCATCGCTTTGAAGAGGGTTATATTTGTTCAATATAACTTTGGGTGTTTTTTGTGTGGATATTTTATGTCCGTTTCAGTTACTCCGTCTGCAGGGCCACGATCACATCACATCAATGCAATCCAATCTATACAGTGACACCCCGTTAATACGGACGGTACCGTTTCCTTAGAAAACCTCCGGATACACAAATACTCGGAATAATGAATCATTGTCCTTTGTATTTAATTATGAAGATGTTTCAAGCAGAATTGTCCGGGGGTTGCTGATTAACAGGATTCGGACAAACGAGGTTCAATTGTAAACGTAATTGTCTCAGTCTAAAAGAATTAATATTCAGGGCATTTAAATTATTTTACCCAGAAGCATATTTTATGAACATCACTGTTGTAGTAATTATTACTGATTATCGTATGAATCGACTGATGGCGGTCGTACGGTAACATCGATTACCTCCCTTTGGATGCAAATGTTGTTTACATAAAAACCTACACTAAGAAGGTGAGGTGAGGTGAAATTGGGTTTAGCGTCGCGTCCAAGGTAATTGTACTTATATAGCGACGTGCATGTACGTGTGTGTGGCCGCTTGTACTAGTCCGGACTGATGCCGATTTATAGTGCTAGCTCACTGAGATACCATGCCGCAGTTTTACATGAATACCCCACTCAGACACAGTATACTGACTCCGAGCCGACCAGTCCTTGTTTAAGACCCTTAATGCCGAGCGCCAGACAGGGTAACAACAAGTACCATCTTTTACCGTCTTTTGGTATGACGCGGTCGGGGATCGAACCCCGGACCTTCCGTTCTCCGGGCGGACGCTCTAACACTGAACCACGGAGCTACACAAAGAAAGATGACAACCCTGATCTATGATGTGGTTCAACATTAACCTGTAGATTTACTAGGAGTTAGCATGCTGGTACAATATTATTACCAATGAAACTGAGTATGACTGAACAGCCGCTTTTTAGGCTGAAGACGAGCCGGATATTTTAACACGAGGAATCTGAATGATTTGACCTGTCAATTTCAAGATTTCACGGATTCTAACCCAGCGTGTGAAAGCAATGAGACAGTTGTGGCCCAGAAATAGTGGTTCGCGTATGGTTTTCTTCATTGTACGTGTTCTGAAATGAATTTCAACAAGTTTGATAAGGTGTAAGTTCAGTGATGTCGGGACATAGTTTTCGTGGCCTTTCGGAAGGACGAGTGTTTTCTGGTGGATTTTCAAAACCCCTCCTGCCAAATCCTTACGGTAGTGGTTGACGGAGATGGCAATGAGTTTCGGACATAAAAAGGCTTGTAAACAACATGTTGTCATGAATAAGGTTTCTTCAAACACATTTTTATAATGCTATATATTACTATCATTGTCGGTTGTTTCAATGACAATCGAAATTTACTATTCTGAGTCTGTTCGCTTCGAACATGTCCCTCACAGTTTCATAAACATTTCATTTGTATGCAAAAGATATGCTTTCGTAAAGTCTTGTTTTCTCAGCACCGGAGCAGTCAGGATTAGCCTACGCCCTAGAACAACATTTCGTCGCTAACAACATCCCATATCAAACTACCGTATTTCCTCTATTAGTCGCTAGGCTGTCTATTAATTTCGCGAGAACCATTTGGCATGTATTAGAGACCTGGCTTTTATTAGAGACCAAGCGTATAATAGAGGAAATATCGATACGGTTTACAGTCCCTGTTGGCGATCGATCGACAGCCATTTTTAATCGCTATGTAGGTTATCGATGTATTCATGCGCATGTTTTATGTGTGAAAAGGCTAACTATATTTAAAAGAGGTTTACCAACATGATTTACGTATATAATAATACCCCTTAGTCCTACTTTTGTCTATTTTTATGTTATCAAAATTTATTTCCTGAGATAAAATTGAAATCTGGGACGCTTTACAATGTCACAGATATTGAAACCAAAACCAAAATGATAATGTCAAATTAACAGCCCAAAGATTCTGTAATAATATAAAAAAGGAATTTGAACAAACATGTAGACTGAGAACTTATAGAATGAAATCATTAGGTTGCCAAACAACTGTGGTAGTTTATGAACTGCAACAGGTCAGTGTTGAAGTGTAAGATCCCCGACTCGATAATAGATCCATGACCAAAACATTTGTGTATGAAATGCAGCATACACCCACTAGGTGTTTAGCAACGCATGCTTGCCGTAAAAGGAGACTATGGTTGTCGTAAGAGCCGACTAACGGGATCAGGTGGTCAGACTCGCTGACTTGGTTGATGCATGTCATCGTATCCCAATTACGTGGATCGATGCTCATGATATCAATCACTGGATTGTCTGGCCCAGACTCGATTATGTTACAGACCGCCGTCATATAGCTGAACCATGCTGAGTGCGGCATCCTCAGAACTAGACATACACATATACTCACAGACACACGTAACAGTTGCTGCATTTATATAAATTTATTGACAGCTAAGATATATAATAATTAAGATATATATTGTACACAACAAACAACTGACAACGGATATTAACAATGTTTAATCGTGACTTGTGTTTGGCAGAATTAAAATTCAGTTAAATATATTTTTTAAAAGCGTTGGCGTCCGGGTTACAATTACAAAACAGCGCACATCAACATTAATGAGTTTTGAATATTGTGCCTGTGGAAATACTTTTAAGGTTTTCATTTGTGTATACAATATTGGAGTATGGGAATAAAATGACCATAAAATATAAGAACAAAATAGAATAGATATGTAAAACAGGACAATAAGATAATGTCAAAAAACATTGTACGAACAAAGCACGAAAACAGCTTAGACATATAAATTATATATTTGTTTAGGACCGGCCTTTTTATATTCCGGAGATAGGAGTTGCATGGGTGTGCCTGTTACCCAAAATACTGAAAACGTATTTGTCATAAAAATAAATATTTGCTGACTGGACATGCTCGAGGTTATGAAATTAATAGGTTTTGGGTTAAAAAATAATGTCTGTCCTGCCTTAAAAAGTCCAGCTCCTGTTTCAAGAATATTAACAGGCCGGTCCCGATTGTTAAATGTGTTAACCGTAATCTACCGAATTGATTGAGTATGATAACATGTACATTTGTTTATCCTTTGTTCCACAAAGTCTGTTTTTAGGGTGACAGGTCAACGGTTCGGTTTACATTTAGTTTTCATTTTCAGCTAGGGGAGTATGCAAACAAAGCTGTCGGTTTTGCATTCACATGTCCATCTGAATCTACCGGGAACCTTTTTACTGCTGCTGAAGGAACAGTTCAAAAGTTTAATGAAGAATGAAGATATTTCAGGTAGAAACATACCGGAAGATAGGTAGTTTCTTTTTAAACTGTTCACATCCACCAAAAGATTTTTTGTCAAGCGAACCCTGACTCTCAGTGAATCTTAAAGCTGAAGGTGATGTAGAGCCTTCAAGTAAATCAAGCTAACTGCTTTTTCACTAAACTCATTTCTTTTCTAGTGACGATGTCGGCCACTGTCAGAGTGAAAATATGACGACTAGAGCTATTATTTATTGACTTGTAAAAACAGTAAAAGGTTTATTGTCTCGGATGGAAACCCAGCAGTCCATTTAACCATCCCACCCCATCATAAAACTCAATGAGCAATTTAGATTTTCATCCCACATAGAACGTTTGAACTGAACTAAGGATATACCAGGTGTAATAAGCCGTGGAGCAGGACCGAAGAAAGAGAATCAAAAGTCAAACGTTCCGAGCGCGGTTACCCATCCAGTTACTCTCCGCCGCTGGCGAAATTATCCCCCCATGATTTGTCACCTGTGCAAATCAAACTTGACGTTTTGTTACATATCATCGTCTGTAAATTTATTTTGGTCCAAATCATTTGTGTTCTTTTCTCGATATAAGGTCTAGCCTATAGGTGAGCTACACACCGTTTCCACTTACAAACAGAAAGAGAACTCAATTAATGGCCTACGTATTAAGGCATGACATCTAAATTCAAAACACAATTTTTTGTCTTGACTCGATACAGATTTAAATGGCCGTCCAGGAAGCGACATCTTCAAAGGAAGTAATTATTAATCGGCGTTTATTGGTCACCGGTGTCATGGAACAATGTCTGATAATAGCCGTGTGAGGAAAGGGCGAACATACAATCAACTGGTCCAGAGGTGAGTGTTCGTCTTTCCTGAAGGTCCCCTTCACATAATTTGTGGCCGTCCGCGACAACAAGTGAGTATTGACAAAGCAACATTCCAGCATTATTACAATGAATGCAAAAAGGGCTTCAAGCGTTGTACCCATGTTGAACTGGGAAAGTTTTAAGTTGTAACGAACTCTTTAAGCGCTTGGCTACCCCGTCACCCCTAAGTACACGTCTCTGAAAAATGCACACGCTGTATAAAAAATGCGTCTAATAGTTAAAGAAATATAAAAAGACATATAGAATAAGCTAAGTAAATTTGCGACCTATTCTTTTCAGAAGGTGTCAGATGTATAACATCTGCATGCATTAGGTAGCTGTGTAGTAAACCTCCCCAGACTCCCCAGGTCTATAACCGAACGACGTCTCCAGTTTTTCCACTACAATCGCGAAAGTAGGCCTCTCTTTAGGGTTCTGCTTCCAGCAGCCTTGCATGATGTCCTGATGTCTGAAACATGAATGAATGAATGAATGAGGGTTGGGTCAGGTAAAGTAAACAGAAAGTTTCTCATAATCGCCACTTGAAACGATTTTGGTGAGGATGAATTTATTTTGGGTAGAGTGGGTTAAACGCCGCTGTAAGCAATATTCCAGCAATACTCCCGCGATTGAAATCAAGAATGGCCTTCACACATTGTACGCATGTGAATCGGAAAGGGGCATGTTGGATGCCCTAAAAGGGGCCGATGAAAGTACATGATTGGACCTTAAATGCCAATTTGCTCACATTTCCTCAGCATACTCTGGATTGGGGAGTCTGTACCCATTCTTGAGTTTGATTGGTAGATCTCTGCTCCGCATGTCAGGGTAGGGAGTTTGACCTGAAAAGAAATATTAGGCCTTTCTGATCCAACTGCATTTGACTCATTCAATGATTAGAAAGTATGAAACATATTTTTCGAAAAGTGCTAAGTGCAAATAAAACAACATTTTGCCAGCGAGTTCATGTCTTTGGTATCCTTGTAATTGGACCTTTGTCATATGGGGTTGTTAGCATTTTAACGACATACTATGTACCATTTACATAGTTTTGGTAACATTTCAATTTTTCAGCATGAAGGATACTTACCCAGACTGAAGATCTCCCACATTGTGACCCCAAAGGACCAGATGTCACTCTTCTCATTGGCTCCCTTCAGAGACTGAAGACACTCTGGAGCCGTCCACTTTATTGGGATTCGATCCTGAAAAACATCCACAGCTGACATGTAATGAAACGAGCAGGAGATGAGTTTGTTCCAAGCGTAATCATAACCATTTAACCACACAAAATAGTTGTAAACGTTTAACACCATACACAACAAAAGTCCATGTGAGTGCGACGGAATATGTGTGCTTAACGCCAGAGTCAGCAACACGCAGGCAGACTGGTCATCATGGGATCCAGACTAGGCAAACCGATGACTGAAAGCATGAGCAACGACCCATGCCAATCGGGTACGATCAGACGCAATTAGCTACGTGTCAGTCCTAAACGACACAACCGATTCTGCTCAGGCTATTGCGGGTTCCACCATCGATTCCCAAAGGGGTCCCCATAAAGCCAAGAAATCAAAAGATAAGTGGAATTGAACCTCGAGTTATTTATGTAGCGACGTGCGACTTAGAGACGTGCATGCATGTGTTTGTGTGTGGCAGCTTGTGGTAGTCAGAACAAACTGTTGTGGTCCGGTTTTACAGTGCCAGCGCACATTCGGCACAACTCGCCCCTTTCCGTAACCTGCAAAAAGACTCGTCCCCCTTTCGATGAATGTTATGTGCGAAAATACGACAAACCAATCAGAATGCGCGTATGATTTCAAGTTCTTCGTCAAAGAATCAATCAGAAATAATTTTTGATTTTACATATGTCTTGCATCTAAAAATATACCCAAGACACAGTTAAATGTGTCCAATCATAATTGTATAATTCCGCATGTCCAGCTGTGCTTTAAATTGCATCTGAAATATATATAATACATGGGGAAATATATGTGAACCATTACGCAACGAGTTGACAATTGTTTCAGGTCTGCCCGTTTGCGCTAAGACGGGACCCGGTCGCAAAAATGGCAATGATAGGGGCATGAATCGCTATTCGGCTTGTCCCGGAAAAAACACGAGTTGGTCACGAATGTGCCAGCGCACTGAGATACAAGGCCGCAGTTTAACATGATTACCCCACTCAGACACAGTATGCTGACTCCGAGCTGACCAGTCCTTGTTTTCGGCCCTTAATGCCGAGCGCAAGACAGGGTAACAATAAGTCCCAACTTTTAATGTCTTTTTGTAAGGCGTGTCTGGGAATCGAACCTCCCTGTAACCACTCTCCGAGAAATCAAAACATAACTTAATAAATTAATAAAACGAGTACGGAGGGGTCGTCTCACCACACTAGATGGCTCCTCAAGGAACACGCGCGTGTGTGTGTTGGCGTCACAAAACTTAAGATTTGTATTTGACATCAAACCTGTGAGCTGCTCTCTTTCCCTTTGGAATTGTCCTCGGCTACTTCTTCAGTGCTGGATGGTCCGAATCCGGAAATCTTGATATCGTTTTCGGGAGTTAACAGACAGTTCCTGGCAGCGAGCTTCCGATGAACAATCTACAATTCATATATAAAAGTATGAAGTTTTTCTGTATTTGTCAAATTAATATTGAAACCTCAAATAAAAATGGCACAGGTCGGTCCTATTGAATTCTGCACTATTGACTTGGAACAATGTTCCCGAAATCGCTTTGACACGAAGGCAGAGAAGTTGGGGACACTGCTATGGGGATACAGAACGTTTGGGTGTTATAAGGTATGCTTTTTACAGTTCAAAAGAAAAGTACCACGCATTTTTCCTAATCCCAATATACAATACAAAATAGACTTCGGTGAAATTCAAGTCTTTATCAGTTTTGTGGTCAATAAGTGCCACCATTATCATTATATAATAATGAGCATGCATTCGCAGTGTATTTGGGATAATATAAGTAGGTTTGGTTTCCGAGATAAAAGTAGCCAACACAGACATCAATGAATGATTAATTCTTTTAAAAGCGTAAAATAGAATTAAAAAACCCAAACCTGTCTCTTTGAAAGGTATTCCATTCCTCTAGATATTCCCAAAGTAATTGTTTGGATTGTATCAAAGACGTCCGTGGTCATAGCCCTCCGTTTGTCGTTTAACCATTTGTCCAACTGTCCGTTTTGACAATACTCCAGCACCATTACCGGTCCCACTGGAACAAAAATTGAGGGAGTGATAGAGTCCTGTTTTACACCGCAAAACAGCACCATTACAACCACATCACGGAGATCCGTTAAAAAATCAAATTTAGGCCCAGTAGATCAGAGGATGACAAGCGATTCGCGCCGTACAGGTGCAATGACACAAATGCAGCTTTTACTCAAGCACCATCACAAATTCAACAGGAAAACTTTATGGCTCACTCAGTGTTGTTTTAAACCGCAAAGAGTGCAACCACTGTGAATGCCAATTTAATCTTAGCCTCCTTACACGTTATGCCTGATATCACCCTTAAAAACACCGTAAATTGAATCATGTCTTTTCTCATCTGATTATATGTGATGGTCTATACGTATGTGGTGGTCTGAAAGTCTTGTCGTTAAATCTGTAGCTCGTGTCGCCAACGGCCTGATTAGATTTCACACTTAAGGCACAATTTGTTAAATCCATTTCTGGTGTTCCCCGATGTGATATTACTGAAATATTACTAAAACTGGCGTAAAACCCAACTCACTCACTCTGTATTGATCATTTCAGGCTTGATTTAATTGTCGATAAGACGAAATGTACATGTTTACTGTAGAACCATACAGTTTTGCTGAAAAAGTTATGGCGGTACAATATAGTTGAACTCACAAGCATCGTTGCTGACAACTGCGCCAATGAAATTCAGCACGTTGCGATGTTCCCCGACCTTTGTGGCAGCAAAGTTGATCTTGGCCATCATCAGTAAGGCACTGTCTTCATCATGGGTGTCTGAGAACATACATGATATTATTTATGAAGCTATTGCCTATGTGTGCTGTTATAAGGTTTGATGAAAAAGAAAAGTCAAAGAAAAAAACAAACCCAATGATTACGTACAGGTATGTACGTTCTTTGTCAAATTCAGTGGTCTTGGCGACAGTGTAGTTGTAGGTATCATATCATAGATTATACATGACTATGGAAATATATGTACTCAGTCAAGTAGTACCAACAAAACATATTTATCCCGGCATGATAAATGACAATGAAAATATATGTCCTCAGTCAAGTAGTACCAACAAAGAATCTATATCACTAGCGGCCTATATACGAAGCCGTTTTATCGCTAAGATTGGCGTCAGGCGTCGTAGCGAGAAAGGTCTCAGCTAAGTCTTTTTCTTGAAAGTGTGTTAGCGCTAAATAATCTTAAATTTACAGCAAAAATTAAGACACTGTCGGACCTGTTTGAGGAGCTTACGACAGGAACAATGGTGGCCAAAAGACGGCATGTTGAAAACAAGAAGCCATTAGGTCCTGTATCGCTCACCTGGATATTTACGCAATCATGACAAAATATGCATTAGCATTGTACATGTATATAATACTAGCCCCCCCATTTCTCCAATTTGAATCCCCACCATTGGAGAATGTTTACAACCAAATATGATTGATATCTATCTCTTAGTTCCAGAGAAGAAGTCGTTTAAAGCAATAACGCCAAATTACCCCTACTTCGCCCCGCCCCTCAGCCCCTTGTTGGGGTGATCAGCCCTTCTATTTGTACTATTTTGAATTCTCACCACCAGAGAATAGTTCCAACCATAGATGGTTGATATCTATCTCGCAGTTCCAGAGAAGAAGTCGTTTAAAGCAATATAGCTCAATTATCCCTATTTGGGCCCTTGGGGGTCAGCCCAACCATTTGTAGAATTTTGAATCCTCACCACCTAGCGATGATTACAGTCAAATTTCGTTAATTTCCAATTATTGGTTCAGAAGAAGAGGCCATTCTAAAAAAAAAATGTTGACATACGGACGACGGACGACGGACGACAGACGGACGCCACGGTATGGCATAAGCTCATCTTATTCCTTCGGACCCAGTGAGCTTAAAACGATTCAATATAGGTTAACTGTATCATTTCTGACTACAAAAACGAGTGTTGTTTTCGACTTGCGCTTTCAAAACACGAACAACGGAGCCCGACAAACACCGCCGAAACATTGTATGCATTGTATGTAATCATGGATGGGTAGATGGATGGATACATGCATGCGTTTTATTGTTATCTGTTGAGGATTTCCTTCTTACATCCGACTAAAGGATGTTTGTCCTTTTGTTTGATGCAATCTATCTGTTTCTGGCATTAGGCCATATCGATATAATGCACGTATTTCTTATCCTGGTATTGCCCTGTTGCTAGATGTGAGATCCCATACAGTGACAGTCTGCAGGAGATACATTAAACTTAAAGGATATCACAATAAAATCATGCGTACAGGATATTCTAATTTCATTTCTTTTGTGTGAGCTACTGTAGGTATCGACCATTTTCTAATCGCGAACTCTCTTGAAGATATGTTTTAATTTTAGTACTCAAAATATATCCACTAAAATGTCGATACGAACATATATATTCATAGCGTCCAAAAGCTTTTACTTGTCCTCATGTTTGTTCATTAGCCCGGGGTAGCATATTTATGTCAAGCTGCAGTCAGAAATAAAATCGTGAACAATAATTTTAGTTTTGTTTGTTGTTTAACGCCGCACTCAGCACTATTCCAGCTATATGACGGCGGTCTGTAAATAATCGATTCTGGACCTCACAATCCAGCGATTGACATCATGAGCATCGATCCAGGCATTTAGGATACGATGACATGCATCAACCAAGTCAGCGAGTCTGACCACCCGATCCTGTTAGTCGCCTCTTACGACAAGCATAGTCACCTTTTACGGCAAGCATAGGTTGCTGTAGACCTATTCTACCCCGGATCTTCACGTGTCGTAAACTGAATCATTTCACTGTGTAGCAGTTAGACAATCTCTTCTTTGACATGAGTTGAACGTGTTGTGTTATCGTATTATCGCATGTTTAAACATTATTTCGATTGCAGGTGCGTTTAATAACCGAATGAAAAGAAGGCCGTTAACTTTGAGTCCCCGTATATGTCGCAACAATACGACACATTTGCAACTTCCCGCAATTACGACGTGGCTTATGCAATACTCCCTGAAAGCCAAATCGGTGTTGCGATATGTCGCAAGTTTGCGATCATTGCCTCATATTTACGCATATTGTTTTCATATTCACATTTTCGTTTTCCTTCGGCATCATCCTTTGGAATTCTATAAATTCTTTCTATATATATCTGTAAATATAACAGCTTTACGGTATTGTCCTTCATTGATCATCTGTAAATAACAATAACATGAGGCTACATCATTGATCATAACATCAACATTTATCTTAAATAACGTTTTAATTGTTTAACTTTAAAACTTATCGTACAAGTCACGATCCTGACACCAGATCCCTACTGAATCGACTCTTAGGACAAGCATATCTTACCTTTAAGAACTTTAGCGACCACCTCTTGCTGTGTTTTACCACTTTTCAGAGAAGCCTTGTAAATACGAGCGAACCTGCCACTCTGTATTTCCTTCTTAAGCGTCAGCTTATCAGCAGCGATCTCCTTTGCCTGCAACGTCGAAAACGGCATGCTGGCGTAGTGGTAGATGTCATCGTCCTCGGCGTAAGACTTGTTCTAAAACGAATGCAGTACGTTAAACAGTCTTCCTGTTATAACACAGTGTGTCAGGTTGCTCTGTGAGGAAGTGAGGTGAGGTGAGGTGAGGTGAGGTGAGGTGAGGTGAGGTGTATTGGGTTTAACGTCGCGTCCAAGATTATTGCACTTATAAAGCGACGTGAATGCACGTGTGTGTGTGTGTGTGTGTGTGTGTGTGTGTGTGTGTGTGTGTGTGTGTGTGTGTGTGTGTGTGTGTGTGTGTGTGTGTGTGTGTGTGTGTCTGTTTGTACTGGTCAGGACGGATACCGATTTATAGTGCTAGTTCACTGAGTTACAATGCCGCAGTTACAGTGCAATGCATTGAACGATATCCAAATTCAATTATGGGATCAAGCAATCACGCTCTGCTCCAGATTGCAGTGTGAAAACTATTTATCAATCGCTAACAGTACAATACATTGAACGCCATCCAAAATTTATCATTGGATCAACCAATGACACACACACACACACACACACACACACACACACACACACACACACACACACACACACACACACACACACACACACACACACACGCACGTGTGTGTGTGTGTGTCTGTACTGGTCAGGACTGATACCGATTTATAGTGCTAGTTCACTGAGTTACCATGCCGCAGTTTATCATGAATACCCTACACAGACACAGTACATAGTGACTCCGAGCCGACCAGCCCTTGTTTTAGCCCCTTAATGCCGAGCGCCAGACAGGGTAACAACAAGTTCCATCTTTTAACGTCTTTTGGTATGACGCGTCCGAGGGTCAACGCTCTACCACAAGACCATTGAGGCTGTTTGTGGGAGGAAGTTCGAAGTATTAAATGTTAACTACTTTGTTTAAACCAACGACTACGGGTATCGTGGTGACAAACACAGAAACATAATCAAAGTTTGTTTGTGTCACCTACATAACCTGCCCTCAAGGACTACCTTAAAGGATGCCATCCTCGGTCTGGTCGGATCAAGATTATTGGCAATCCTCGCTGTTTCGACTGGTTGTCGTCGACTACTCAGAAAACGATGTCCTCCAGTCCTCCGCAGAACAACGACCACGGCCACGACGACTACAACCCCCAGCCCTGTCGAAAACAATCATAGTCAGTGTGTGTATGACCACGAGTGTCTCAAGACAATTACAATTACAAGACACACAGTAAACAGATATGCCAATGAAAGGAATAAATTGAAAAAAAGTGACCCCTCAAATCAGGCGGCTTATATGTTTTTAAAGACAAGAGGATATTTGTGTGGATATTTTTTCCCCATAAACATCTCGAACAAATTATTTTGTTTACAAAAACATACAAGATCGCAATTATCCAGACATAGAATATGCCACGTAAGCCATTGTGACCTTCTGGTGCGTATCAGTCGATTCGTACTATGAATGCTGGGTGCCTCAGTGGTGAGAGGCAGTCGAGCGTGTCCAAAATTGACGTATCAAAAATACGTGTCACAAGCGTCAAGCAGACCATGCAAAAAAAACCTCACCTGTACTAATTCCTGCGATTACTCCTGTTCCGATACCAGGAGCGTCCACTGGGTTTAAGAAAAAAATAAAGTATTATTATAGCAAAGACAGTTGGGTGTAATAGTCTCCTTCATGACGATTGTATCAATCAAGTGATCAGGCACTTATGACATGATTGTCATTTATCTTATTTGTATGGATCCCCGCTTTGTATGGTTACTCACTCACGTAATCCGAACGCTTGAATTGCAACGGTAAAGGAGTTTCACTGTATTTAAGAACGTGTGAAGATCCGGATGTGAATATAACAGGCGACTACATGTATGCTTGTCCTAAGAAGCGACTAACGGGATCGGGTGGCCAGACTCGCTGACTTGGTTGATGCATGTCATCGTATCTCAGTTGTGTAGATCGATGCTCATGATACCAATCACTGGATTATCTGATCCAGAAACGATTATTTACAGACGGCCGTTATATATCTGGAATATTGCTGAGTGCGGTATAAACAACAAACACTGTATTTAAGTGTTCCACGCTGCAAAGAAACAAAACACTGTATTTAAGTGTTTCACGCTGCAAAGAAACAAAACACTGTATTTAAGTGTTCCACACTGCAAAGAAACAAAACACTGTATTTAAGTATTCCACGCTGCAAAGAAACAAAACACTGTATTTAAGTGTTCCACACTGCAAAGAAACAAAACACTGTATTTAAGTGTTCCACGCTGCAAAGAAACAAAACACTGTATTTAAGTGTTCCACACTGCAAAGAAACAAAACACTGTATTTAAGTGTTCCACGCTGCAAAGGAACAAACAACTGTATTTAAGTGTTCCACGCTGCAAAACACCAAAACACTGTATTTAAGTATTCCACGCTGCAAAGAAACAAACCACTGTATTTAAGTGTTCCACGCTGCAAAGGAACACAACAGTGTATTTAAGTATTCCACGCTGCAAGGCAACAAAACACTGTATTTAAGTGTTCCACGCTGCAAAGAAACAAAACATTGTATTTAAGTGTTCCACACTGCAAAGAAACAAAAGACTGTATTTAAGTGTTCCACGCTGCAAAGGAACAAACAACTGTATTTAAGTGTTCCACGCTGCAAAAAAACTAATACAATCAAACTACTTACTGGTAGTGATGGATACCTGCTTGGGTATACTGAGCATGTCCCCGTATTTTGCAGTGACCTTGACCTTGTATGATGTACCAGGTTGAAGGCCGTGGAGGACATAATGTGTAGCGCTCTGGAAAACTTTCAGCGTCTCCATAGCATGCAAGGTGTCTCGTTGGATGAAATTAGTCAAGTGACTGTTAACCTTCAAGCGCCTGACGGGCAGCTTTGGATGTATACTCCCCGGGGAGCTGTGAATGACATTCAAGCAAACTGATCTATTGACCTTGTATGATTGTCATTATTATTAGTCTGGCCTAGACAGCATTGTCTTCAAAGGCCACCTGAGTGACACACACACGCACGCACGCACGCACGCACGCACGCACGCACGCACGCACGCACGCACACACACACAATTTCGTAAATTTTACATTTTTATACACACAGTATACTCACATGCCTCGGTTCCGTTCAGCTTCATGAGATCTTTTACCTACAATAAACAGGGGGACACGGGTGGCGCAGTCGTCTAAGGCGCCGCGATTCGCTGTGCAGAGTCGCGTCCCTTGGGCACGCAAGAAACCTATGATTGTGGTTTCGAATCCCGGTTCGCCCCAATTATTTTTCTAGGTTTGTCGGCACCATACCCGTGCTCGTGGGTTTCACCAAAGTGGTAAACGTCTTAGACCTGCATCACTTCGGGCTTTCCTCCCACATTAAGCTGACACGCCGTGATATAACTGGAATACTGTTAAAAGCGGCGTTAAACATAACTCAATCACACTTACAATAAACAGAGGAAAAAGTTTCATCACATCTTTTAAGGATCCTTTCCTATCTGCACACGTCAGCAGTACAAGATCGTAATTACACGTATCACAAAGCCACAGGGGGATGGTGTGGTAGACAAGTGGTTTAGCCGTCACGCCTCAGGCCGGGGTTCGATTCACTCACTCAATGTGTTTCTGGCCATCGAGAGGAGAGAGTTTGGTTGAACGCAGCTTCGCGAAGAAGGAAAGCTCTACGTGGTGTAAACTTCACGGGTTTCATGCCCACAAAACCACGTATCACTATCAGGGCGAATCTATGATTCGAACCAGGGTCACAGAAGTTTCTGGCACCCCTCATGGACGCTTCTCAACGCAGCAATTGCGGCGCCTTATATGACTGTGGCACTCGTGCCCCATAATCAATGATACAGAGTGGAGCAAATATCTAAAAGAAATTAAAGAATTATGGTTTTGTGACTGTGTTCACATTTTTAGAAACATTAAAAACAGGAATTAAAAAATATATTAACAAATTAACAAACTGATGTGGTTGGCCCCAGACTGAGTCAAATAGAACTGATTACGGAGAGAGCATGTAATAGCAGACTAATTAACTTCTCTTTAAAAAAACGATACAGTCAGCAGAACGCTGACTCTCGGCAAATGGCTGACCACATATGTTTGTTGTATATAATCTGTACTTTTGTATAAAACGATATTGTAGTGATGGTGGTCAGAGGCGACCTATTCGATCGGGTCGACTCTCTGACTTGGTTGATAGCGTGTCATCAAGCCTCAACGGCGTGCAACATTGCTCATAATATCAACCACTGGTTTATCACAAATATTTACAGGCCACAGTGACCTAGCTGGAAAGTGTGCTGACAAATTATGTAATGATCTAATTATAAGGTGTTGCTCACCACGTGGACCAACGGTGTGGGTGTCTTCAGTCCAGCTCTGTTGACCACACCCACCTCTAGTTTAACCTCGGCTGATTTCAATGCGTCTTTGGCCACCATCAGCCAACAGTTGCTGATGTAAAGTTTGTATACTCGCTTGTAACACACGTTCAGGGCGTTAGGGCAGTAACAGTCAGTCACTCTGTCTGTGCAGGCAGACGGCTGAAACATAGAGTGTTGAGTTTCCAAACATGGTTGATCTTTATAGAACAACGTTTCAATTTCAGAAATATGTCTCTATGAGGTATGTCTCTGTGAGGGAATCGAACTCGGGTCTTCGGCATGGCGAGACAACGCTTTAACCACAAGGCTACCCCACAGCCCTACTCGGACGAAACCATAGACCCCCCCCCCCCCCCCTCCACACACACACACACACGCACACACGCACACCCGCTACCCCCCCCCCCCCCCCACACACACACACACGCACCCCCCACACGCACACGCGCACACGCACGCACACACACACACACACACACGCAGAGTAGTTTTATTTTTTATTTTAACTTATTTAACTAAGGCATTTGTTTATGCCCCTTGTGAAAATAGTCTGGAATATCTTTCAACTCTTTCATACTCACTGTTAGAGTCGGTACCGTAAGGTTCCTGCTGGACATCAAGTGCCCGTTCCCTGTCTGTATGACTTTGACCTCTACACGTCCAATGCCACTCTCTTTGTCCAGCATGTTCAACTCCAAGCTGAAAATTCATACGTAAGACGTTATGGAACTGTTGCTGTATTACAATTTCCCCCGAATAAGCATTTCTTGTAACTCAAAATAGATTTCAGCGTCAATAAAATATTTAATCATGTTTCATTGGGTTAAAACACTACCAAGAACTACAGTGACTGCGGGTGACACTACATCTTCAAATATAAAAAAGACCGCATACTCAGTTGTACAATTCGTCATTTTCTCTCACCCAGAACTGAAGGGAATGTTGGATATCTCGTTTTCGTGGAAAGCCATCCTAGTGATCTGTGGCTCCGTAAAATCATAGGTCACACTTGTCGAGTCCACTTTCTTGTTGTCGAGGATGTCCCTGGCTCTTATCCACACAGTAACAGTGCTCCCACTTGTAACTCCCTCTGGAGTACAAAAGAAATGTGTATAGATTCACATACGAATGATTAAATCACATTTATTACAAAGTGTTCTACTTGCATTTCCATGAACGGGACGGTCACGTGGATATTCTGGCATAGAATTGGCCCCCAGTAACCAATGCTGGCCGAAAGAGGCGAAATAAGGAATATGGTGGTCAGGCTCGGTGACTTGTTTGATCGTTGTTCATTATATCAATCACTGAATTGTATGTCTGCTGTGAAATAGCTGGCATTTTACTGAGTGTGGAGTTAACCAAAAAAAACCAATGTAACAAAAGTCCAACCACTAAATGAATCAATGAAGTAAAATGAAAGTTTATAAATATGAATAGCTTGATCTTGTAAATTGATCAGTGATTGCTTGGGATGTTTTTAGTATTGGAGTGAGTAGGGTTTAACTGCGCTTTGAAGGGTCGGGTGTTTTGTTTGAAGAAATAATTATAAGTTGTTTAAACAGCCAATTACGTTGGCTTGGGCCACAGTCACCAGCATTAATTAGGAACATAAAAGAGAAACGTACCTGGTTGAAACTGCATGGTACTTTTTAAACCGGATACATCAGACCAATTTGGAGGTGTATCTTGGCGTCGACCTCCAGTTTTATTGACATCATGTGTCCACTCGAACTTCACAATCCCCCGCACATTGAGGATAGCGTCTACGGTTCTTTCACCATAATGATCATCGTTGGTGCTGCTGACCTGCTTGTAGATTGGTGAGTCTTCAACAATTTGAACTTTGAAGGGCAAGATTTTGTTTAGAAATTTGCCACTTTCGTGGTGATAGTTCAAAAACCGGTTTTCCCAGTTGACCACGAGTGGCTTTGATGTATCGGTCATCCACTGGAAGCCCTGGTCTCGCACAACAGATGATATGTTCATAGCATGGTTCGGATCAGTGGTCACCGTTGACTCTTTGTCGTACAGCGCAAACCGTCTCATGTATTCAGAGTTGTTGGCCTTGTCCACAGCTTGAAGAATGAAGGAATACATACCTGGTTTATCGGGTTCATAAGGAAGAGGGTAGGAAATGGGGGAGGTGTGTTTGATTTGTCTGTGGATGATGGGTCTCAGTTTGTCTTCCTCCATCAAGTCTCCATCGCCATTAGGTTCAAGTTTAAAGGCTTCCCATGTGTACTTGTCCATTTGAGAATCATCATCCGTCCATCCTTCCCATTTCATTGTAATACCTTGCTGTATAATGTAAAAAATACATACGTTGACCTTCATTTATGTGAAGTGTTCGCTAATTTCTGTTCTGGAAAACTTAGACTTCAGGCTTACTTATATCCATGCCTGACCATCTATATGTATGGGGGGCACGTATGGCCCAGTCGTCCAAGGCGCCGCGATTCGCTGTGCAGAGTTGTGTCCCTTGGGCTCGTCAGAAACCTATGATTGAGGGTTCGAATCACGGTTCGCCCCAATTATGTTTCTAGGTTTGTCAGCACCATACCCGTGCTCGTGGGTTTCACCGAAGTGGTAAACGTCTAAGACCTGCATCACTTCAGGCTTTCCTCCCACATTAAGCTGACACGCCGTGATATGACTGGAATACTGTTGAAAACGGCATTAAACCCAACTCACTCACTGTATGTATGATATTATGTACTGTTATTCCCTTTGAGCGAAATGGATATCTTCTTTACTTTACTTCCATTATCCTTGGTTTTCACCACCATACCTGTGCTCCTGAATTTTACCAAAAAAAGTTAAGACCTTCACCATGTTAGGTTTCCATCCACATCAATGGGCTTACACTCTCTGAGATATCCGAATCGCTGTTCATCACGTCTTTTAACCTAACTCACTCACACACTAAATAGTAAAAATAGAAAATTTACGTTGTCATTAATGTGAGGAAGGAGAAAAACGCACTGTGTTTTCATTGTAAAGTTAACTAGGTTACTTGTAGATTTATAGCGCAGTTTATGTACGCATCGTTGATAAATCGTAGGTACCAAAACTGCCCTCTCAGACTTATTATCTTAGCAGCCTATTCGGATAGGCGTAGAAAGGAAAGGCATTCTTGCAGCTGAAAGTCTAGACGGGTAACATAAAAAAATGCAACTTCGGAATGGAAAATAACTCTAAAACGCGGAACCGGAATCTAAATAAGTCCCGAAAAAAGCTTTACAGACAAGGGCCGATTTTGAGGTCAATTGGCGATGAGAAATTAGAAGACGTTTGCATCTAACCTTCGTAAATTCAGGGTGGACTTGGAATGACGCATCGGCTTCTGTGAATGCAGGTTTCGTCAGATCAATGTTAAAGGCAACAGATCGGGTCGTTTCAGTTCCGGTG